GATTCTCTCTACGCATAATATACTCTTTCTGCTTCGCTCATTTTATTTTGTCCTGTCATATATTCCTCTACCTATTCTATTGTTTAGTCAGATTTTCATGGTCAAACAGTTCCAACTTGAAGATTAACTTATCAAATAGAATTTCTTCCTCCAAGATAATCTGAAAAGTCTAGTCTGCCAAAACCCTGGAAGAGTCAATCCTCATTGTAGATTTATCAATCAGAAAATCTTCAGTCTATTCAGTGACCCTCATAGATATTAGAATAAACATATTATTATAAGTTGATGAGAGCAAATAAAGACAATAATAAATAAAATATACACAAACATAAATACTCAATAACACATCAAGTAAAAAGAACTGAAGACAAAGAAAAATGATTTGTTTTTTATGAACATCTAGAAGAATCGGTACTCTGTGATAAATAAAATTATTACATTTGTAGCTAGCAGGATGGCTCCATGGGTAAGTTGCTTGCTGCCTCACTGTAAAGACTAAATTAGATTCTCAGCACACACGCAGAGAGAGAGAGAGAGAGAGAGAGAGAGAGAGAGAGAGAGAGAGAGAGAGAGAGAGAGAGAGAGAGAGAATATGAATTGAGCATGGTCGCAGAGTTCTGGGAAGAGACAGAAGGATTCCTCTGGCTCCTTGGCCAGTCTACCTAGTTGAAACAGAGATCTTCAAGTACAGTGAATCTGTTTTAAAAATAAGGTGGAGAGAGATAGAGGGAAGACATCCAGTATTGAACAATGTCCTCCAGATGCACCTGTACATGCTCACAAACACTCCATGTAGACATCCCTTCAAGATCCCTCCCATGCACAAAGAAACAGTGTATACTAGTCCCCTGAGGGGGTAGAGATATCTCTGAGATGGGTAAACAAAGAATGAACATCTGAGTTGAGGTTCTATACCTTGTTAGACAAATGCATACAATTTTCATCACTGTCATACCTTACTCTGCAAAACGGTTCACTTGTTGATAAACATATAGAAATGAATGTTCTATTATGTGAAAAGCTATGAGATGAAGCAGTCTCATACACTGTCCTAAATCATTGAATACATTCTTACTGCTTTAATGAGTAAGACCACGATGATCAGTTGTATCCCTGAAGACTTACAGAACATGCCCCCAAAATACTCTAAAGCTAAAGCTCATCATGCTTTTTCTTTATTCTCAATAATTCATGAAGTAGCTTGAGTTTTGTAACAGACATCTCAAGACGTTGCTCTTAGAAGCTCTTCTCCTAGACTAACTACACACCCTCTACTTATTTTTAAATCTATTCTTACTGTTATTTCTATAGGATTCCTTTTACAGAACATGAACTTTTAAGACTTTATTTGTCTCCTTAAGAATCAATAACTTTATGTCCATGGATATTTGTTATAAATAACTTGGTTGATATATGACTTTTCTAGTTGAATGTCTGATTATTATATAGATTACACATTTTTCTAATACTGTTCATCTTTTTATATAGACATGAATTAATATATTAAAATATGTTTAACAACATTTGTATAAACAAATCCCATGATGATGTGAGAATGGTAGATGTGTTGATTGTACCTTACTGAACTTTCTTGGAATTAGATGCATTTTAGACTTCAAAACATCTCAGATTTGGGAATATTCACATATACAAAATTAGAAAACCTTGGGAAACCTACAATTTATCTTGAAATTCAATTATATTCTTCATATATACCTTATATGCACAGCCTGAATATAACTTTTTAAAATATTTGTCATTTGTACATCTACTACAATTTCAAGTAAAAGATGGTGACACTGAAAATTTTCAGAGAATTGATGCTAACCTTTGTAGTAATAATAATAATAATAACAATAATAATAGCTTGAAGGCATACCTGAGGACAAGTACAAGTAACTTAGGGTGAGGGTGGGGAAAGATTCAGCAGCCTCGGCAATCACTGGTGAGCTAAGCCTTAACAAGCAGAAGCAGTTGAAGCAATGCCTGGAAATGACTCCTGAGAGAATTTCTGGAAACTGGTCACAGCGGTTCTTGGAAATCTGCACAGGAAACCAGTTGGTTAACAGATGGTTATTAGCCTTGGGGATTGATTATAATTGTGAGCTGCAAATGTCTCATTTGTGAGCCTGTGTTCAAAATCTTTGGCTTTGTATGTGTGTGTCTGATTGTGCTTTAAGAGTTTGTTGGAAGAGTCAAGGCAACTAGCTGTAATCCTGAAAACTGCTGGCTGGCCTCCTGTTAATTGTAGAAGGTGGAATTAACTTACAAATTAGCAGACCATAATTTGCTGTCATGTATTTAATTGCTGGAATAGAGAGAGAATAAGATCTGTATGCTTGAAAGTTTAGCTCTACAGAATTGAAGGATAATTACATTGCTGGTGACACTTAGTTTGGTCTAATTTGTGGTTGTTGTTATAAAACACTAAGACAGTGTATTGTGTTCTGACTGGTGTAATTATGCACTGGATGTAAACTTAGCACAAACAAACAAACAAACACCCCACAGAGCCAGACTACATGCAACATTCTCACCCCACCTGAATTGTGGACCCAGCTAGCTCAGAGCTGAAGTTCCGTGCTGCATAGCAGCATGAAAGGAGTACTGTACCATGGATCACTTACCCATGAGGAGAGCAAGATGTTAAATTCAATGTGCATGTTAGAATATCTCATAATAAAAACCCTCATTTTGTACAATGAATATATTATGATAGCATTTTTGAAATTCAAAGTGAAATTTTTACTGAATACCTATCCCTTTTGTATCTTCCTAATAGAGTAATTATAATTCAAAGGCTGTACATTATGGACCCCCATGCACTATCCTTTTGAAATGCAGAATGCCACTCATGAGTCTGAAATCTGGGGATAGTAACAGATTAACCTCTGCCTGCTCAGGAAACTAAAGAGAGTCTTTCCAAACCTAGTTACTGCCTGTGCTTCAAGAGAGGAAACTTGACAATTTATCTTGGGTAATGATTATGAACATAAGGATGACAAAAATCATGAAAATCCAGAAATGATATGCAAAAGAGTGAGTTCGCTATTTTCCATAGCAACTTTTATGATATTGCTAGGTAATTTTTGCTCCAAATCTCACTTCATTGTTACCTTTTTCCCAGTAACTATATAAGCATCATAATTATATGCTAAAAACAGTGGTGAAGGAAAGAAGGGAAAGATCACAAAGGAAGGAAAGTGTTTGCTGTGGAGGAAACAATGTCTGCCCAGGGAGATCTCTCTGATGATGGGAATGCAAAGGGTTATCAAAGAATGTGGTTGCAACATAGCACTACAATAACCATGTTGTAATCTTTGAAAGGCCACTCAACTCTTCTGTATCTGTTTCTACGTCCTCATAATAAGTGGATGCAACACAATGAGCTCTGCCTGTGATTGCCTTCATAGTTGACACTTAGTTACTGTCCTGGGGAGGAGGAAGTAAGCATGATGATATGAACTAGTATGTGTATTAGATCAGCATTTTGACAGCTGTCCAATACTCCTCACTCCACTCCTAATTTCAGAGAATGTTTCACTCTCTCATAAAACAAGAATAGGTAAAACATATTATTTGATATGAACACTGATTTCTTATATTATCAAGTTAGTCATTTTACTCTATATTTGTTGTGATATTGAAAATATTTCTTCTAACTCTTTGATGAAGAAAGAAGATGATGTAATACCAGATTATTCATATTCAAGAGGTCATTGAGTCACTTTTGATAATAATGAAAGATCTCATGTAATCCCTCAGATTAAATTCACATATTGGCAAAGAACCCAGGTGCAACTTCACATCTGCTGAACATAGCTATTCTTAAGTTTGTTGTCTTTCTACTTACACAAATGGAAATAATTTTAACACACTTGAAATATTAATTGAGCTATGAGAACTAAACAATTTTTAAAAAGCAACACTCCTACACGGTAACTTCACCAACTAGGAATTAACACACACAGACACACAGACACACACACACAGACACACACACACACACACAGAGAGAGAGAGAGAGAGAGAGAGAGAGAGAGAGAGAGAGAGAGAGATTATTCTTCTCTGTTAAAATCTCTCATGTCTTACCTTAGGATACAAGCCTATTTTCTTCTTCTTCAATTTTCTGACACATTATACCCACCGTTTTAATAACAGTCATCAGTTTTCTGTGTCTTTAGTTAGTCAGAAGCTTCTTGCACAAACTTGAAGCACTCAAGAATATCTGCATCAAGAAGAAAAGAATACCCAGAAACCAAGTAAAATCAGTGTAACACTCTTAGTCCTGTGAAGCTCAGGCTCCATAGTAACCACGATTAATGCTAATTAAGGCATTGCATACATTTTCTTATGCATAAACCAAATATCTGACAAAAAACAACACAATGAAGGAGATATTTATTTTGGCTCATGATTTGAGGATCCATTTCACCGTTGTTGGGAACGCAATGAGGCAGAAGCAGCTTTGTCTTAGCAGCAGCCATGTGAGGCTGATGCTCACATCTTGATGGTCCAGGCAAATACACAGAACAAGAAGCAAGATGGGCAATAAACCCCAAAGTCTTGTCCCACAAAATATGCACATCTTCCTGTTAGATCCCACCCAATAAAGTTTCCACAAACTTCCCCAATCGTATCCCTTAGCTTGGGACCATATAACAAACAAAGAAGCCCCTGGGAATTATTTTTATTTTTCAAACCACAATCCATTATTTGTAAATAATAACATTAAACACATAGTTTTGCATCAGAAACAAGGATTTATTAAGATAAAATTATTTGACTTTGTAACTTTGGGAGAAGTGAAACGTTACCAATTTTATCAACAATGTAGTTGGATTTTTCATTAGCCTTCCAGTTTGATAGAATTTCGAATTTGAGTGTTAGAAAGGAAAAAATAGCAGATAATTGAGAAACTTTCAAGAGATCTCAAGGATAAAATGAAAATAAAATTTTACTTCAGAATCTGCATTCAATATTGGCACTCAACAGATTTGTCAACAGTAGCGAGATGTATAGAATGGCTGGTAACAAGAATAGAAATCCCTAGAAGGGAATGAAAGTGGAGTACAGACAGCAGATCTGTAATATCTGGAAGGAAAGCTATAGATTCCATAATTCAGTGGTCTGAAGCCATTTCCACAGCCCACTGGGTAGCAGCTTCTCCATCCATAGCCCAGGGAACTGCAGCTGCTGGACCCAAAGCCCAGAGAGCCAGCATATGTCCCCTGGCAGGGACTGCAGGGTGTGGAGCTCCTGGGGTAGTAGCAGGGCTTCTGGCAGGGGCTGGACACCACACAGGACCTCTGGCAGCTGATGGGCTCAACGCAGGTCTCCTGGCAGCCATTGTTCAGAGAGGATCCAAGTTGGCAGGTGCTGGGAGAATAGCTGGTGGTGGTGTAGACCAGGTTGCTAGGGTAGGAAGAGCCACGGCAGGATCCTGAGGAGGGCAGGCAGCTCCTAAGGGAGCGAGAGGAGAAGTTTCCAGAGCAGCAGCTGTAGGCCATGTTGAGGTGAGATGAGAGCTGGATGTTAGTTAACAGGGAGATTGTGAGTTTGAATGTCACCCAGTGGAGAGCTGGGTTTATATACTCTCAGAAACAGGTGTGGTACCCAGCTGTCTCATACTTGATGCATTTGTGTGCTTCCTGGTTTACAAATGTGTAACTCAGTAATTTCTGTAATTGTAGCTGCATTTGAATAGTTTTCTACACAGTATATTTATGAGTGTTGCAACAGAGGCCAAAGAGCTACTCCTATCTACAAAATGCTATGACTATTTTATATTAACACCTGCCCCCTCCTAGCTATAGGAGTCCTTTCTACTCCTCTAGTGTATACTACTTGCCTGTGCTTGATTGCATACTCCTGCGTTTGCTGGTAAAGAGTTCTTCTCTAAAACTTGAGAAGGAGATATTGTAATTATCTGATTGCTGGATCTATTTTCATATAGATGAAAGTATTCATAAATATGGTCCATCTTATCAACCTCCATTACTGTTCTGCCAAATCCCATTACATGGTGTTAAGTAGTCATAACAGAACACAATTATACCATGGGCTCCACCTACACATTGTGTATCAAGTCGAATAGAGACAGAGTCAAAATAAATAAAAACCAACAGAATAAGAGAAGCAGCAAGAAACTGAACCTGGTCGTTGAAAAGGATCTCAAAGGAAACAGCTCCACTTGAATGAAGGGAGAAAATAAGTATAAGAATAGCAGTGAAGAAACAGTGAGCATTTCCTTGTCGTTAGGTTTGGATTTTTTAAAACAAGAGTTGCAGTACTGTCCAGGCTGTGCTGGAGTGAGTGATCATTCTGCCTGATTTTCCTCGATGCTCAGACTGAAGGTGTCAGCCTTCCCTACTGGTCATTTACACTGTTACTTGACTTGTTTCAATGCCTGCATAATCAATTTTCATAAATTAACAATGCCTAAATATTTCTTATTATCTGTCCATCATCTGCATTTATAATCATTGATGTTTTCTAACCATTACAGTTTGCCTCTACATTCTCATGCTGTTGGTTATCTAGTAACTTTTGATCAGTGATATGTCCTGGTACTCAACTACACTTTCCTGCTTAAATATGATTTCTTATCCTTTCCTAGGGTTCCTTTCTATTATGGGGTACATGAATGTGTAAACTTTCTTCTCCTACTCCTCTTCCTCCTCATCATCCTTCTTCTTTATCCTCCTGCTCATCTTCTTTCTGGTCCTCCTCCTCTCCCTCCTTCTTTTCTCTCATCCATCCCCTTTCCTCCCTTCTACATACACTTATCTTTTTGTTTCTTCTGCCTTTGCCTTTTATTTTCTTCTTTGTTTTCTTTTATTTTTATTTGCTATTTTTCTAAGCACATCTAAAGCTGAAAATACACCATATATATATATATATATATATATATATATATATATATATATTTCTTAGTATGTAACAACCTTTTTCAATGTTCACTGATAAAATATTCTGTGTTCATATGCATACAAATGATGTTCAAATAGAACAAGAATTTACTGATACAGTCTATGAAAACATTTTCACATTTTTCTAATAAAATCTAAGCCATTATCAATACTGATAAAGCATAAATATATAGCAGTAGGGAAAATACTATACTAGAGACTATAAAACTCAAAGAGAGATGTTAAAATACACAATGCTATTCCCTCCCCACTTTTTTTGGTTTCTGTTCTTTAATAACAAAATTTATATTTTGTTATTTTGTGCCTTAGGCAGAGCAGACTATCAATAAGAAAATATGGGAACTATTTTCCCAATTCTTTTCCTGTTGTTCTTTCATAAATAGCTCTTTAAGTTATCTTGAGAACAAAACAATAATTCTATAAGGCAAAAATGGATTCAGAGAATTATTCTTCTGGTACCCTGCATTCTGGTTATGGACCCTTATATAATCTAGTTCACTTGAATAGTCTATCACCTTTTTATGGTCTCTATACTGTCATAATTTTGTCCACATAAATTGAGATAATTTTTTAATGTTTTTCAAAAAGACCTACCATTGAACTAAATTCATGTGAGATTGTACTATTTCATCTGTATAAGCTGTCTATGATAATTTTCATCTAATTATCCATCAAGAAGGAAAAACTGAGATAACTTGAATACAGTGTCAGACGTGGGAGGCTACTCGTGGAAAGCTTTTGATATTTGATTGCAGATCCTCATTAATATGTGATAAAAAGATGTCTTTTGATATTTTAGGTATTTCCGAAAGAACTTCCTCCATATAGAAGGTCATGGATTCTTCTCCTTAAAATCTCAGTGGACCTGTCACTCACAAGCCCAGGATGTTGCTTTTTAAAATGATTTAGAATAGAATTTCCATAAATAAAAAACAATATCCACTATATTGAGATTCTATTGTAATGCTATTAAGAGCTACAGAATGTATTCTTTTCATCACACACAGCTAGATTAGAATGCTGTCAGTCAAAGAACATTTGACTCCAAATGATCAAAAATATACTCATGACAGCAAGGCTCCTGCATACCATACTGAAACACAGTTCTTCATTTAATAAAACTGTTAGCATTTTTCTCAGAAGAATATTTTGGAACATTTACATGAGGTCAGTAATACACTGCTTTTTGTCTTTTAAACATATTAATAAATTTTGGGAAATGGCTAGATACTTTAGCAGTTATTATTATTCTTAGCCCTTGTTATTCTTCCAGATAAGTAGTTTGATTCCTAGTACCCATGTTAGGCAGCTCACAGTCACCAGTAACTCTAAGTCCAGGGCACCTAACACCGTATTCTGGCCTCCAGGACTACCCATATCCACATGCACTTACACAAACTTTCACACATATATACACATCAAAAAACCTTGTACTTGCTTTCTTATAATTTTTCCATAAAGTTAGTTGAAGGTTCCCAGGATTTAGAACACTTGTGCATCTTCCAACTTACTCAGTTTAATACTATTTAAATTTTTTATTGGATGTTTTATTTACATTTCCTATGTTGTCCACTTACCCCATCCCCCACCCACCCAGGAACCCCCTATCCCCTCACCCCTCCTCCTTCTTCTCTGTGGATGTAACCCCTACCTAACCCCCACTCCCACCTCCCCACCCTCAAAATTCCCACCCCCTGGGGCATCTAGCCTTCATGAGGTCAAGGATCTCTTCTCCCACCTATGCCCAGCAGGGCCCTCCACTCTTACATATTTAGCTGAAGCCCTGGATCCCTCCCTAAGTGCTCCCAGGCTGGTGGTTTAGACTCTGGGAGCTGTGGTTGGTTGGTATTGTTGCTCTCTTCATGGGGCCACAAACCCTTTCAGCTCCAATGGCCTTCACTCTAACTCCTCCAATGAGAACCCCATTATCAGTTCAATGACTAGTTGTGAGCATCTGCCTCTGAATATGTTAGACTCTAGAAGACCTCTGAGGAGACATCTATATCAGGCTCTTATCAGCATGCACTTCCTGACTTCCACATCAGCATCTACCTTTGGTGACTGCACATGGGATGGATACTCAGGTGGAATGGTCTTCAGATGGCCCCTCTTTCAGTTTCTGTCCCTCACTTTGTCTCAATATTTGCTCCCTTGAGTATTTTGTTGCTCCTTCTAAGAAGGACCGAATCACCCCCACTTGGTCTTCCTTCTTTATGAGCTTCATGTGGCCTGTGAGTTGTATCTTGGGCATTTCAAGGTTCTGGACTAATATCCAATAATCAGTGAGTGAATACCATGTGTGTTCTTTTGTGATTGGCTTACTTCACTCAGGATGATAATTTCTAGTTCCATCCATTTACCTAGTAAATTCTCTAATTCATTGTTTTTAATAGCTGAGTAATATTCCATTGTGTAAATATACCACATTTTTTAATCCATTCCTCAGGTGAAGGACATCTGGGTTCTTTCCAGCTCCTGGCTATTATAAATAAGGCTGCTATAAACATAGTTGAGCATATGTCCTTGTTATATGTTCGAGCATCTTCTGGGTATATGCCTAGGAGTGGTAAAGCTGGATCCTCAGGTAATGCTATGTCCAATTTTCTGAGGAACCACCACACTGATTTCCAAAGTGGTTGCACCATCTTGCAGTCCCACCAACAATGGAGGAGTGTTCCTCTTTCCCCACACCCTCGCCAGCATCCAGTATCACCTGAGTTTTAATCTTAGCCATTCTGACTGGTGTGAGATGGAATCTCAGGGTTGTTTTGATTTGCATTTCCCTGACGACTAAGCATACTGAACATTTCTTTAGGTTCTTCTCGGCCATTCAAGTTTCCTCCATTGAAAATTCTTTGTTAAGCTCTATACCCCATTTTTTATTAGGATTATTTGGTTTTCTGGAGTCTAATTTCTTGAGTTCTTTGTATATATTGGATATTAGCCCTCTATCAGATGAAGGATTGGTAAAGATCTTTTCCCTTGGTACAGAGACAGGCAGGAAGATCAATGGAATAGAATTGAAGACCCAGAAATGAACCCACACTCCTATGGTCACTTGATCTTTGACAAAGGAGCTAAAACTGTCCAGTGGAAAAAGGACAGCATTTTCAACAAATGGTGCTGGTTCAACTGGAGGACAACATGTAGAAGAATGAAAATTGATCCATTCTTATCTCTTTGTACAAGCTCAAGTCTAAGTGGATAAAGGACCTCCACATAAAACCAGATACACTGAAACTAATAGAAGAGAAGGTGGGGAAAAGCCTCGAATACTTGGGCTCAGGGGAAAAGTTCCTGAACAGAACACCAATGGCATATGCTCTAAGATCAAGAATTGACAAATGGGACTTCATAAAATTTCAAAGTTTCTGTAAGGCAAAGGACACTGTCAATAGGACAAAACTACAACCAACAAATTGGGAAAAGATCTTTACCAATCCTTCATCTGATAGAGTTTAATTCTCAGTACATACATGGTTACTCACAACTGTCTCAAACTCTTGTTTCATGGATTCACAACTTCATCTTCTGGCTCTCTGAGAGAACTGGGCATGTAGACAGAACATGTATATTTA